CATTCAAGAACAGGAAAGCCAGATTAGACTTTGCCAGAAAACATCTAAAAAAGCCTCCCATGTTCTGGAATAAGATTCTTTGGACTGATGAAACCAAGATTAACTTGTACCAGAATGATGGGAAGAGAAAAGTATGGCAAAAGAAAGGAACAGCTCATGATCCAAAGTATACCACATCATGTGTCAAACATGGTGGAGGGAGTGTTATGGCATGGGCATGTATGGCTTCCAATGGAACGGGCTCACTGGTGTTTATTGATGATGTGACTGCTGACAGAAGTAGCAAGATGAATTCTGAGGTGTATAGGGCTATACTCTCTGCTCACATTCAGCCAAATGCTACAAAACTGATAGGACGCCACTTCACAGTGCAGGTGGATAATGACCCTAAACATACTGCGAAAGCAGCTCAAGACTTTTTGAAGGCAAAGAAATGGAATATTCTTCAATGGCCAAGTCAGTTGCCTGATCTCAACCCAATAGAGCATGCCTTTCACTTACTGAAGACAAGACTGAAGGCAGAAAGACCCACAAACAAGCAGCAACTGAAGGTGGCTGCAGTGAAGGCCTGGCAAAGCATCTCCAGGGAGGAAACTCAGAATTTGAGTTTTGAGAACATGGGCTCCAGACCTCAGGCAGTCATTGACTACAAAGGATTTTCATCCAAGTATTAAAATTATGGTTATATTTACAATTACGTCACTTTGTCCAAATACCCTTGAGCCCCTGAAAATGGAGGTACTTTGCTGAAAATGGCTGTAATTCCTAAATGGTAAATGCCATATTTTTGTGGAACCTTTTAAAATAAAGCTGAAAGTCTACACTTCGATCACATCTTGATTGTTTATTTCAAATCCATTGTGGTGGTGTATAAAGGCAAAATCACAAAAACTCTGTCATTTTCCAAATACTTCCGGACCTAACTGTATACGTGGTTTAAATTCTTAATTTTGTCTACAAAAACAATTGAAAAGACATTGAAAACTTATTGTTATTTTAGCTGTCTACAACAGGATATAAGAGTTTAAGGTAATTTAAAGTAATAAGATAAACAAATATTATTATGTCATTTGTAATACTTGGTTGCAAATCATTTACACTCAATGACTGCCTGAAGTCTGGAACCTTTAGACACCACCAGACACTGGGTTTCTTCCATGGTGTTGCAAGACCAGGCCTTTACTGCAGCTGTTTTCACTTCCTGCTTGTTCTTTTGAAGTTTTGCTTTCAGTTTTACCTTCAGCAACTGAAATGCATCTCAGTTAGATTCAGGAGTTTTGGACATTGCAGAAAATTCCACTTCTTTTCCTTAAAAAAAGTCTTGAGTTGCTTTCAAATTATGCCTCAGGTCATTGTCTATCTGCACTATGAAGCGTAGTCCAGTTGGTTTTGAAGCATTTGGCTGAATGTGAGCAAATAATATAGCCTTATACATTTTAGAATTCATCCTGCTGCTTTCGTCAACAGTCACATCATCAATAAATACAACGGAATCAGTTTCATTGCTAGCCATACATGCCCACACCATAAAATGAGGTGGTATGCTTCAGATCATAAACAGTTCCTTCCCTTCTACATACTCTTCTCTTGGCAATTCTGCTACAAGTTGATCTTTGTATCATCTGTCCATAGGATGTTGTTCCAGAACCTTACAGGCTTTTTTTTTCTAGTTTTCCTGTTTTTGAGGCTTACAAATGTTTTACACCTTGTGGTAAACCCTATGTATTTACTTTGGTGAAGTTCTCTCTTGATTGTTGAATATTGATTGCTGATTGTTGATGATTGTTGACATCCTGGAGGGTGTTCTTGATCTGGCCAACTCTGTCATCTTCCACAGCTGTTTTCCGTGATCTTTTGGGCATTTTGGTGCTCCTGGGCTCACCAGTGTGGTTTTTTTTAAATGTACCAAATGGTTGATTTTACTATACCTAATGTTTTTGCTATTTCTCTGATGGGTTTGTTTTGATTTAGCAGCCTAATGATGGCTTGCTTCACTGGCAGTGACAGCTCTTTGGACAGGTTGGACAGGTTGAGAGACAGATTCCAAATGGATATGCCACACTTTAAATAAACTTTAGACCTTATATCTGCTGGGGTGTGTGCTGCACAAGAGGCCTGCGCTACTGTGACCGCACAGCTCACTGAGAAACAGACTGAGAGAGGCAGAACTGGTAATGGAGAGAGTCTTTAGTAACTGACTTTGTAAAATGGTGTAACATCTGAGATTGTATGTATGTTATGGAGATGTGTCTTGCTCATATTTTGCTTTTAGAAATACTGTAATGATTCAGCTTCGAGTGAGAGTCCTCTATACTATGCATGCTACCTAGAAAATGATATATCACTACTCTTATGTTAATCATCATATAGTATTCCATAGATTATATGATGGCGATGTCCCACAGTAACCTTATCAATGTGATTATATTAATGAACCTACTTAGTGGAATTAATTCCGGTAATTTACTTAGATAATGTGGCTATCCTGATGCTTCATTGCTCATGTTCATTGAGGACTTTCTATCATAAAGTTAAGGGAGTGCTACGAGTGCTGTTCACTGTATACTATTACTAGATTTCAGTTGGCAGAAATGTGTTAATGGAAGAATAATGTCAATGAGATATGCAAATCATTTCAATGAGAAAAGCAAATCATCTCAATGAGATAATTTAATCATATCCATGATAAATCCGTTAAAACAAGAAGAAATGAATTTGTTGATTTAAAGTTGGTTGCCTAATTGGTTATGTATTCATTCATTTTTAAACCAATCATATAATCTTTTTATTAACACTATGTCTGAGTTACTGTGCATAAGTACAGTTGATTGTAAGAATGGCATTAGATTTTTGTATAGATTTTATAAGTCCTTTATAATTTTTGAAGCTATATCCTAAGTCTCTGCAAGAGGGGTAGCTATATAGCTATTTTGGTAATGACAAGATTAGTATTAGTACTTAAGAAAAACAAATACATTAACTAGGAACTGCACATGCTGGGATTTTCAGAGCTAGTGATTCAATGGTAAAAGGGCCATGCAAAACCCCTTTACCACCTCCTTGCGGTGTCGGCTGGAAACAAAGACCCCTTGGGACCTTGGCTAATCATGGGGTTCTTCAACAACAGGTGGTGCAACACGTCAGTTGAAGTATTTATTTGTCACGTCGAATTTGCAGTGCTAAATCAAAGCTTGGTCTGGAATGCTAGAATGTCCCCCGTATGCAATGTGTGCCACCCTTGCCCAAACATGGGAAGTGGGCAAGGGCTATCTGCCCACAAATCGGGCAGGATAAAAAAGAGATTCCAACATCTATGATTAGCAACTACTAACATCAGAGCACTACAGGCGGCAGTGTTGATTCTGTCTCGACCGTGATGTGCATCATCTTGTGTTACGCCCAGCAGACCAGTTGCCCCGCGGATGAGAGGGATGATTTCTGGGACCAACTTGATGCCCCCCTCCAGATGTGAAGGAGCTGTGGACAACCACATCCTGATCGAGGGTACATGCAGTTCCGTGGAGGGCAAGGTCTCAGTGTGCAAAACAATGATGAATACCACATACTGGACTGCACTGAGGCCCATAAACTGGCCGTCATCAACATGTTCTTCAAGAAGAAGACCATGCACTTGGCCACCTACACCAGTGGTGGAACCTCAAACTAAATCAATGACTGGATGGCCCGACTGTGAGGCCTGAAGTGTCAAGGTGATCCCATCTGAGAGCATTGCCCATATACCCCCCCCCCCCCCCCCCCCCCCCCCCCCCCCCCCCCCCCCCCCCCCCCCCCCCCCCCCCCCCCCCCCCCCCCCCCCCCCCAGCACGCTCTACTTGTGCTGGGCATCTGAAACAAACAGCTGCTGGGAGCAAAGGCTCAAACAAGAGGGCCCGTATGAATCAAATGGTGGAAGATAAGCAAGCACAAGGGCAAACTGGTGACAGCACTGAGCATTTTTGCAGTGCACCTCAACCAGCCAACAGATAGAATATGGTGCAAGATTGTTGAGTGGCTACACAACATCACAGAGGCAACTGTTGGAAAGACAAAGCCAGGCAAAAAGACATATAGACAAGTAAGTTTGGTGGTGGAATGATGTAGTCCAAACAGAAGTCAAGGAGAAGAAGCAGACTAATAAGACCTGGCAACAAATGCAATTGGATACCAATCTCAGCCAATATCAAACACTGAAATCAGCAGCGAAAAGGGCAGTTGCCACCATGAAGAGCCGACCCTACCAGGACTTGTACCACCAAATCAACATGCCTGAAGGGGTAAACAAGATCTACCACCTCACCAAAGCCCACCATAGATCGCCCCACATCCACTGATACCAAGCCCGCAGCCCATCCCAGGACCTGCCTTGAACATTCAATTCAATTCAATTTTTTTTGTATAGTGCTTTTAACAAAGGACATTGTCACAAAGCAGCTTTACAGAAATAAATACATTCAGGATATAAATGTAAATGAATTTATGCCTAATGAGCAAGCCAATGGTGGGGCGATGGTGACAAGGAAAAACTCTGATATGATGAAGAAACCTTGAGAGGAACTAGACTCAAAAGGGAACCCATCCTCATCTGGGTGATAACGGATAGTGCAATTATAAATAAATCCCTTCTATAACTGTGTACTACATGGACAAATAGTGCAATAGTGTAACCAGGAAATTCATTACAGTTTTCACATGAAGTCTGTTTTGTTGAACCTATTCACTGTCCACTGATGGAGACCTGAGTGCAAAACTGCTCTTGGCAACCGCAGCCCCAAAGCCACCACAGCAATTAAAGTCCCAAGCCATCACTGTACAACTGCCCATATGAACTGCAGTCCAAAGCCATTTCCATGGTCCCCAAACGGCACCATCCACAACTCCAACCAGAAGTAGGGCATCAGGATGGATCAGGCAATTCTGGAGAGCACAAGGGGTCAGGATAACTAGTATCTCAGGAGTAGCATGTGTAGCTCAACAGAGAGAGAGAGACAGGGAGCAACAGAGAGAGAAAGAGAGAGAGGGAGAGAGACGGAGAGATTGTTAGGTATACTTTTTGTCCTGTAATGGTTAAGGACAATGTACTTTCCGTGCAGAGTGCAAGCAGGGACTCCGGCAAGACTAGCTATGACAGCATAACTTGGGACGGAAACACCGTCCCAACCTGCTTCAAAACCACAACTATCA